ATCTTCACTTCGCTGCCGGACGTCCGAAACTTTGGTGGACGTTGCCGCAAAGTATGAGCGCAGCCTATAGGGTGGTACTTCTATTTTGGGTTTTTCCACTCCTGCACGAAGAGTCCTTCGAATTCTCCCTCCAAAGCTATCAGAGCACGCATTGCTTCATAGTTTAATAAACCGGTCGTCACAAACGAATTGTTGATTTTTTTATCAAATGCAAAAAAAACGAAGAATCACGTGTCGAAAGGTTCCATGAGGGATGCTCATTGTTGTGCAGGACGCGGCTTGTTCCGACAGGCGGAGTGAGGATGGTACAGCTACAGTTTAAACAAGTCAAGGCGCGTATTATCCCAGAGGAGGGAGGGTTATTCAAGTACCGGGCTTTGTGAAAACCTTTGAATTGTCAGCATGTAATTAGTGGGCAACTACTGAGGGCAACGCTGAGGATGAAAATTCTCGGCTAGTGAGAGGGAATCAGCTTTGGGGTGGCTTTTTGATAAGTATTCACCCAACGTCATAATTGTTTCTTTACTGCCAAACTTTCCTGGTATCCTTTTGGCGAGTTTTACGGTCCACATGGCTCACAAGGGTGAAGGTGAAGTTGTCCGGTGGTGAAATTTTCACGACTACACAAGGTTCGCTAGCACCCCTCCCCTCCTCTCCCACTTTTCCAAGGTTCATAGCGCTCATGTTAATATGACTGCGCATGTCAGAGGGGCAACATTGACAAGGAACAAAGAATTCATCCGAAGACTATCAAGCGAGTGTCATAAGAAGTTTTGAGTAAACGAGAGAGGAGTTTTGTAGTGAGACTTCAGTCACCTCAGCAGTACCGTACTTGCCTTGAGGTCAAAATTCGGTCTACCGCGTGGGCCATCCAAATAATAAGAATTTCGATGATCGTTTCAGTTTCAACCGCGAAAGGCATCGTCAGCAAGTTCATCCGTTGGCACAGCCATTGATACGACAACGCAAGGTGGCGCCGATCAACCGTCGAAACCGGAGCCATCGACGTCGGTCAATCCAAACAATCCACTTCTTCAGCAGCAAACTTCTCAACAGTCTGCGCAACAACAACCGTCGTCGCAACAACAGCAGCTACAGCAGCAGCAACAACAACAACAACAGCAACAACAACAGTCATCACAGCAACTATCTCAACCGCAACCTGCAATGGCGTGAGTTCAATTTGACTATGAATTCTGACTTCTACACACATTCATTCGTTGCAAGGTACATGCATGAAGCCCTGGAATTTAAGTTGTCCCTCCATAACCCTCCCACGACATCACAGTCTAACCTCAAAGGCAGTTGGCACGATAAATCTCTAAGAAGAGTAGGATTGATACCGCCTGGCAGGACAGGATTCCGCGACCCTAAGCAGGTGCTGCGTAGCGCCTTTCCAAGGAAGGCACCTTAGAAGGGCCCTATCGAGCTACAACATACCGACCCGAACGCCCACCACGCCCGCCCGCCCACAAATGGACGACCGTACCTGACGCTCGTATTGCTTTATTTGCGAAGTAAAATATGAAGCGAAGGGATTGGTATGAAGCGGCTGCGGTGCTGCATGGATATATGAGAACATACATGCAGCCGTACCCACCGTAGCGGTTATTGGCAAGATGTCTACGGAAAACTCGTCCGAAATTGTCATTAAGAACGAAGGTTTTTCTTCGCAGGTTTTTGACCGTTTCACTTCGTTTTTTCGCCATTTTCCCCACTATATGGCGCCCTGCTAGCATTTTAGGCCAATTAACAAAATATCGTGCCAACTGCCTTTGAGTGTTGATTGTATGATTGATGTTGAACCTGACTAATTTGTCAAGAGGCTAGAAACGAGATTTCCCGAGTTATCTCTCACCCGTTCTCATCCCTTATCCCGTGCCTTTGGCTCCAGTCATCAACATCGCATCGCGACTGACCACTGTGTCAAAAATATACTCGATGTTGTTTTCGCTGCACGATGTGATGGCAGTAGTACGGAAGGCGTGATGCCCAGGTGTTGATGAGACGTATGAAAGTTGTCATATGGGCAGAAAGCTCAGGCTGACATGTGCAAATCACTTGACTAATTGGTGTTTGTGAAGGAGCAGATATAGAAATTTGACTTTGGAAAACAACAAAAGTTCCCAAGCTGATATTCACGAAAGACTGGTATAGTGAACAGCCTTGGAGGCACATTTTGCGATTACCTCAGAGTCATCTACAAGAAGCATAGGTTCGCAGCCACTTTCACCCACTTGACACAGTGCGTGACAAGGGCGTTAGCGGTTCGCCTATACGGTATACGTGCTCATAAATGCACGATCTTTGAGTAGCTCTAAAATCTTCTCGCTCTCTGCGTGTATGGCTGTGTGGCACTTACCTCATCATTACGTAC